CAGGCTTCGCGGGCGGGCGCCCCGCCGTGCCGGACCACTGGCCCGGAGATGGGCGGCGTGGGGCAGGGCGGCCCTGGAGACCCTTCCAGAACACTGGTGTGGATGGCGGGCTGTGGAGTTGGCTTGGAGTCCGTACCCTGGCCCTGGCCGAGGCCTGCACGGCCTCCCTCGGTGTGAGGCCCTGGAGGGCAGCTTCGGCCACAAACAAGGGCAAAAGCTCTGTCCCCTCATCCAGCTCCGGGGTTTGCCGTGGGAGCCCAGAGAGGGGCAGGGCCTGCCCGAAGGCACACAGCACCCACCCAGCGAAGCAAGCCTGCACTCCAGCCCGCCCTCCCCAGGGCCCGGCCGCACTCACCGATGCACACGTTCTCGTCGTCCAGCTCCGCCGAGCCGTTGCGGTAGTAGCCCAGACGGCAGTGCTGGCAGTGCTGGCCACGCGTGTTGTGCTTGCAGCTCACGCAGGTCACCACGTTCAGGAAATCAATGTAGCTGCAGCGGTTGGAGTGGCCGTAACACTCGCAGTCTGGTCCAGCCGGCCGGGAAGAGAAACACCGGGGCTCAGCGAGCATTGTGGGAAACGTAGGCAGGGGGAGGGGAAGGCCTCACCGCAGGGCGTGCAGGGAGGGGGCCTGGAAGGCGCCCCACGCCCCACGGAGCCCATGGCCAGGATGATTAGGTGGGTCATGCAAGGAGACTGGGGTCGTGCTGCTAGACTGTGCCCTCAGACAGCGTCCACACACACGCGCACGCACGCACACACACACCCCACACGGCAGGGCTCCGTGGATGGAGAAGGCATGCATGCGTGCTGGGAATGATGGGGGGCCAGGAGCTTCCTCCCATGCTGCTTTGGAAGTGTTGGAGGAAGGAAATGGCCGTCCTGTCCTTGCAGGCCCCTTTTTCTTTCTTTCCTTCTTTTAGTTCTGAATCCTGGTTCCGAATGCGCTAGGCGAGATCTCTAGCGCTCACTTAGGTCCCCAGTCCCAGGTTCTGGGGTTTGAATTTCAAGCCTCGTGCTCCTACTTCGCTTTTTCACTCCAGGTTGGTGCCCTACCACTTGAGCCAAACTTCCACTTCTGACCTTTTTTGTTTGTTTGTTTTGCTGGTTAACTGAAGATAAGATTTGTTTGCTTGGTTGGCAATCCTCATAGCTCGGCCTCCTGAGTAGCTAGGATTGGAGATGTGAGCCACCAGAACCCAGCTCTTCTAGTCCTTTGTGTTCTCATTCTCTCTTGAGACAAGATCTCCTTGCCTTCTGCCCAGGAGGCAGCAGGGATCACAGGCGTGCTCGACCGCGCCCTTCTGAGCCTTCCACGCCTCTGCTTGCCACCTGCCAGGTTTGGCGGACTCTGACACTCGATGTTCCCCAGCCCTGGCTCTGCTCGTGGCTGCCACAGCCCCATGGCAGGAAGAGCCCCTTCTGCCACGCTGCCCTCCTGCGTGCCGCCCTATACCTCATCCTTGGGCAAACCCTCCCAGTGGCTCTGCAGGTCCCACGACCACTTGGGGGCAAGGATCCCAGGGCTTATGAAGCACCGCAGTGAGGGGGTCACTTTTGGGGTTCCTCCTGAGAGACTCAGTCTCCCACACCACTGAGCAGGAAGGCCAGGAAAAAGGGATGCTGGCCTGCACCACGCCACCTTGCATCTGCCCTCAGGAGACCCCCACCTCCCTCTCCCAGGAGGCGGGTGCTGACCACAGCTCAGGGGGCGGGGTCCTGAGACCCTGGAGACATGTCCATGGGCTGTGGCTGGGCCTCCTGGACCTGGCCTTCACCTCAGCCCTCCAGACGCAGGGAGGAGGCGAGGCGTCCACTACGAGTCACAAAGGGCACCGGTGACTGAGTGTCCCAGATTCTGGGCCAACCAAGAGGAGCCCTGGGCTGCACCTCCCAGGGGAGCTGGGACAGGCTATTTCTGGCAGCCACACTGCCTGCCACCCGGCCCAAGTTGCCTTCTGACTCATACCTGCTCCCAGCTCCCTTGGAGCCGGAAGGCCAGAGGGAAGGGAGGCTCGGTTTCACCTTGACCCAGCTACTCCACGAGGGTTTCCCAAGCTGGCACCGGCCTGTCCTGCACGGGTCTTCTCCAGTGAAAGTGAGGGGCCATGTTGGGAGAGCCGCCCCCACCCAGGGCCTTCCTTACCTTGGAATTCTTCAATGGGCATCACTTCAGGAGATTTGGGCTTGAGCTGGAAAAGTCTGGAGCCCTGGGCAGGGGCCACAGTAACAGTGCCCACAGCTTGGAGAGATGAGAAACAGACTTTTCAATCCCATAGCTCAGCTACTCAGGGCCAAGGCCTGGACCAAGGGGAAAAGCTGAAAAGGTCTCCTGCATGCCCTGGGCCAGCTGGGGCCTGTCTGCTCAAAGCTGAGGCTGGGTGGCCGCTCCAGAGCCAGAACACAGCCCTGCGGTGGGAGCCGCACCCTCGGCCAGCCCTGCCTCCTCCTCACACGGTGTAAGACACCTGCTGGGGATTGAAAACGCTTCAAATCCAGACTCTAAACCTGGCACTAGAGACTTGCTTCTCCCTTGCTGTCTGAAGCCATCTTCCTCCTCCGCTCCGGCTGAGTCCTTGACTGTCCAGGATTGTGACTCTTGGGTGTCAGGCCGAAGTGGGGTGTCTGGACCCTCACAGCTGCAGCACGGCCATGCTTGGGCCCCTCCCTCACTGTGCCGCACTGGCCAGCAGAGGGCGCTCCAAGCCTTGCTCACGGCTCAGAGCCGGAGCTGGGGAGGAACTTGAGGTGCAGGAACTTGAGGTGTGGGATGGGTTGGGCAGGGACAGCCTCCCTTCCTGTCCCCTGTGTGCCCACCTCACTCCCCTTCTCCCTACCCTCACCTCATTCTTGCGGTTCCCCTCCCACCCGGGGTCCCCGCCTATGTCCACCTGTGGCCTCCACTGCAGCGTTCTGGGGCCTCAGGTCTGTGCTAGGTCCTGTCCCCATACCTTCTGCCCGGGAGGACACCAGGGGCCAGCGGGGGCTCTCCCCAAAGGGGGCAGCCAGGGATGGCTTGGTCCACTCTTGGGAGGAAGAAGAGAAGAAGCCAAGTCATGTGAGGGGTGATGGCCCCAAGCCCCATCACCCCGTATGAGCAGCAGCACTATAGAAAGAGAAAGCCATCTACACTGGCCAAGAGATCTGGGTCTTGACCCATTACAGAGGCAGCATCTACGCTACTACAGGAACAGGCGCGGAGGACACAGGTGCTGAAAGGCAGGCCAGAGGGGGCGGGGCTGTGGGCTTCCGACAGCCCTTTCTTGAGTCTGACAGCCCGGACCTCTTCCCACCGGGGCCGAGGGGCAGAGTTGGACCTGCATCTGGGCTCAGACCTCCCTGTGCTGAGTTGCTGAGCGATGCTACAGGTGGTCAACATAGCAGATGTATCAGAAGGCCACCTGTCCAGCCCATCTGGGCACCAGAGGTCCCCCCTGACCGCCGCCTTCCCTTTGATGCCTGGTTTGAGCTCATTCTCATCCGGGACACTGGTAGCAGCCAGCCAGTCCCTCCAAGATGCTGCCTTACATTTGTTTTTCTTCAGACTGACTGGGCATAACGAGCACAGGGCTGCTGGGGACGGTGGCTCATGTCTGTCAGCTACTCAGGAGGCTGAGATCTGAGGATCACAATTTGAAGCCTGCCAGGGCAGAAAAGTCTGTGAGGCTCTTATCTCCAATGAACTGCCCAAAAGCTGGAAGTGGAGCTGTAGCTTAAGTGGTAGTGTTAGCTTTGAGTGTCAAAAAGTCAGGGACAGTGCCTAGACTCTGAGTTTGAGCCCCAGTACTGCACTTTAAAAGAAGAGGAGGAAGAGGAAAGAGAAGAGGAAGAAGGAGAAGAGGAAGAGGGAGGAGGAGGAGGAGAAGGGGGAGGAGGAGGAGGAGGACGAGGGGCGGGGCTGGCAAAGGCAGGCTTTGTGCTGGGTTGAGATTCAAAGGACAGAGCTGGAGGGCTTGGGAGAGGGCTGAGTGCTCCCACTTCTCAAAGGGATTACCCAGAGCGTTGATGGGGAAAGAAAAAAGAAAATCTCCCAGCTAAAAAGTGCCAGAGTCTTCTCAGCAGGGAGTCAGGAGCCTTTGGACTTCAGATTGACATTAATATGGTGTTCAGTGGGGAGAGGAGGCGGCAGGGCCTAATTGGCAAGGGTTTAATTAGCGCTGGGGTAGGAGCAGCCCTGAGGGCATCTTGCTTTGCAGCCTGGCTGACCCCACGGCAGTGCGCATGTCCCCCCCCCCCCCCAGCTGCTGCCTGCCAGACAGCTTGACATTGGCAGAGAGGAGAAACATCTGGACCAGGAGATCAGGGCCCTGATGGACTCTGGCCAAAGAGGCCAAAGCACCTGTTGGAAGGGGCCTGGTTGGGGGGATTCAGGACTGTTCTGACCGTAACAGGCCCTGTCTGCCACTCTGGGGCTTCTGTGGGCCTGACGTAAAGGTGGGGACTATGGGTTGGGGCACTAAGTGGCGGCTGGAGTGACACAGCCCTGTTCCAGCCCCGTCCACGAGTCCCCATCAACCTGGGACCGTGGGTGGCTGCTTCTCTCTTTTCTTTCCTCCCCCAAACATAGCTTTGTGGAGGTATAATCCGCACACTATATAAATCCAGCCACTTCTGCCCGGGCCTCAGCGCCCTTCCTGTGGGGAAAGGAAATTTTAACCTGCGTCTCACAGAGCTGAGTGTGAGGCTCTGACAGCACTTAGCCAGAGCTGGCTCCCACCACGCAGCGCCATCATCATCAAGAATGCACTTCTAGCCAAGCGTGGTGGCTCACCCCTGAAATCCCAGCTACTCAGAGGCTAGGGTCTGAGGATCATAGTTTGAAGCCAGCCGGGGCAGGAAAGTCTGTGAAACTTATCTCCAATTAACCACCCAAAAAGCCAGAATAGGAGCCTGTGGTTCAAGTGGTGGAGCACTAGCTTTGAGCACACAAGCTTAGAGACAGCGCCCAGGTCCTGAGTTCAAGCCCAAGAACCAGCACCAAAAAACAAAAAAAAAAACCCAAAACACAAAAATAAAGGGGCTTCAGCAGCTGCACAGGAGTTGGGGGCCCCTTTGACTGGAGGCTTCTGTAGCTAAGCATCAATGAGGAGCTGCTCACGGGCTGGGGCGGGGGGCTGGGGCTGAGGCTGCTTGGATGAACCACGGAGGCAGGTGCACGTGGGGAGACAGGGCCCCGTCTTTGGTGGAGTGAGGGTGGCCTCGCTGTCACAGTAAGCGCCCCCCTGGGGCGGAGGACCATGGGGTCGGACGTCTTGAACTGACGATGCTGTCTGGATCTTGTGGCTGGGGCTGGGTGGCAGGTTGGCCGGGGAGGTCTGGAGGCCCCCTCTGCCTGGGATCTTGTACCTCTAGGGTTCTAGCATTTTCTACTCTAAGAAGCAAGCACCTAGGGTCCTCAGGCTTGAGGAAGGCCGGGACTCCAGCTAGAGGCAGCCAAAGGAGGCTCTGGTACCCACCTGTGGGCTGGGGGCTGGGGGGGACTGGGGGGGCTGGGGAAGTGGACGTGGGAGGGGTGGGAGAGGTGGAGCCCCTGCCCGGGGCCTCAGTGACCGCGGGGGCTTGGGGCGCAGGCTCCTTCTGGGCCTTGCCGATGCCTGGCAAGAGAAAAGCAAGAGTGATGGAGGAAGTTCTGAGACTGACCAGCTTCACAAGCCAGGGCCCTGCCAGCCCAGCATCCTTCTAGCACCTTCTCTGCCCGCTGGAGTGGGAGGGGCAGGGCGGACACCCTGTCCTGAGAGCTGAGCTGGACAGCCAGAGCACAGGACGGGGCCTGGGCTCCTCCTGCCCAGGCGGGGAGGGGATGCTGTCTACCCAGGGGTCAAAGGGCAACTCCTCCCCCCATTGAGGCCACGCCCACTTTCCAAAGCAGGACCCAAGGAAGCTCCTGAGGATGGAGGGGTGTCACACACAGAGGGGGGCTGGAGGGAGCCGCGGAGGGGGTGTCTGAGGGGACTGCGGGGCATCCGGCCCCTCTCTCCATTTCCAGAACATGCAGCGCCCCGTGGCCGCGTGGCCCTGTACTTACTGCCGAAGGCCGAGCCCACAGCAGCGCCTGCGGGGAGACAAGAGGGTCACAGAGCTGAGGAGGCGCCCCGGCCGGGTGGAGGGGGCAGGGCGGGTGCTGAGGGGTCCCCTGGGGAAGGGGATGGGGGGAGGGCCTGAGCACCTGCTGCCCCCCCCCCGCGCTCACCACCTCTGAAAGGCAGGACCCCTAGTAGCCCACAGACCAGATGGGGAAACTGAGGCTGGGAACTGCTAAGCAGCGCTTCTGGTGGAATCTCAGAATTCGGGGCGTCTGGGCAGGTCAGGGAGCGGCTCCCCTCGAGGAAGGGGAAGACAACCACGCCCGCAGCTGCTGAGCGAGGCTTCCTGCGCCAGCCACACGGGGACGCCGGTGGCCGCAGCGCTGTGGTCTGGGAACCCACGCGGGACGGGCCCAGGAGTGGACGGGCGGGCCCCGGGAATGAAGGAGGCCAGGGGTGAGCGCTGCCCGTGGGGCTGGCGGCGGCCTGTGTGGAAGTCCTGACAAAGGACAGGAGGTAGCAGCCGTGGGGTGCGTGGCCCCGGGCCCCTCCGGCGTGGCATGGGCTGTGGCCGGGGAGGAGAGCTGCCTGGCGCTCCTTGCCACACCCACATCTGGGCAGCCTATGTGGTATGGGGTCCCCCAGGGTGGGGCCGAGCAGCTGGGCCCTGCGGACAACGTGGGGACCCCCCAGTGCGAGGGTCCCGTCCTGAGAGCCCCAGCACACCTAGGGGCGCGGACACGGGGACCTGGGGTGGGGGTGTGTGTGATGAGCTGGGGGCTCTGCTCCCGGACACCCAGGGAGGGCAGGCCCTGGGCAGAGGCTGGCGGGACAGGTGAGGTGAAGCCCCCCGGGGCCTCCGCGGCTCGGCCTGTGGCTCTGGGCTCAGGATGTGGCCTTGACCCCCAGCGCTGGCCTGGCACCAGGAAGGTGCTGGTCTGGCTGGGAGCTGGCGGGGGGCTGGGGCCCCCCGAAGCTGGAGGACTAAGCACAGGTCATGCCGGCGCAGCCTCAAGCCACAGACAGGTGTGAGAGCCAGGATTCCCGGAACAGCGAGCACCCCAGGGCCGACGGCGTTCACGGTGCAGACACGCGTGGGCAGAGCCACGTGGGCTCCCCGGCAGGGCCCCGGGCTGGGCTGACAGCAGGCGCCAGGGCCTCAGGGCAGAGCCTCTGAAAATCGGGGTCCCACCCCAGTCCCAGAGGCAGGCTGAGGGCCGGGGAGGGGAACGGGCTGCACCCGGCACCCGAGACACGCTGTGACCACCCCACAGCCGCGTCCCTGCAGCTCGGAGCTCTGCGGAGCGCAGGGGACTGCAGCGACGTCTGACAGATGTGTGTGCGCATGCGTGCCTGCTGGTGTGTGCGCACTTTGTATATACATGCATGGGCGTGCGTGCATGTGTATGTCCACGTGTTGCATGTGTCAGCACAACCCCAGCTCTTGGGCTCTGGGGGGCGGGGCGTGTGTGTGTACACCCAGGCTTGGGCGGGGCGTGTGTACGCACAGCCTGGGGGCGGGGCGTGTGTACGCACTGGTGCTGTGGGCGAGGCGTGTGCACGCACAGGCTGGGGGCGGGGCGTGTGTACGCACAGGCGCTGTGGGCGGGGCGTGCGCACGCACAGGCGCTGGGGGCGGGGCGTGTGTACGCACAGGCGCCGTGGGTGGGGCGTGTGTACACACAGGCGCTGTGGGTGGGGCGTGTGTACGCACAGGTGCCGTGGGTGGGGCGTGTGTACACACAGGCGCTGTGGGTGGGGCGTGTGTACGCACAGGCGCTGTGGGCGGGGCGTGTGTACGCAAGGCGCTGTGGGCGGGGCGTGTGTACGCACAGGCGCTGTGGGTGGGGCGTGTGTACGCACAGGTGCCGTGGGTGGGGCGTGTGTACACACAGGCGCTGTGGGCGGGGCGTGCACACGCACAGGCTTGGGCGGGGAATGTGTACACACAGGCGCCGTGGGCGGGGCGTGCACACGCACAGGCTTGGGCGGGGAATGTGTACGCACAGGCGCTGTGGGCGGGGCGTGTGTACGCACAGGCGCTGGGGGCGGGGCGTGCGCACGCACAGGCGCTGGGGGCGGGGCGTGTGTACGTACAGGCGTTGGGCGAGCCGTGCGGCAACGGCAGGTAGGAGCCGGCGCGCCAGGCCCGCGTGCGGAAGTTCTTCTTGCACTTGCCGCAGTCCGGGCCGGTGGTATTGTGCTCGCACTCGCACTGCAGGCTGCCCTCGCGCACCGAGCACAGGTTGGCGTGCAGGTTGCACTTGCACCTGGGGAGATGCAGAGGTGGAGGTCAGCGGGTTCCCGGGCAGCCCGCCCGGCCCCTGGACAAGGCGAGCCCACAGGACAGAGCCACGCACTCCCGGGCCCGTCAGGCCGCCGCCCAACCCGGACTCATCAACTCCTCCCCACTGCCCCGGCCACGGGGGTGCCGGGCCGAGGGGTCCTCCCACCGCAGGCCCCAGGATTCCCTGCGGCCCGCCCTGCACGCTCCCACGACGGCTCCTGGGACCTCCTCATCCTCAACGCGGTGCTTGGATGTGTGCATGTGCGTGCATACGTGCGCGTGCATGTGTGCAGTGCATTGCGTGCGCACGTGTGTGTGCGTGCGCCGGTCTTGGGGCCAGCGCCGTCTCTTAGCCTTTCTGCTCAAGGCTGGCCCCTCCCCACTTGAGCCACGGCTCTACTGGGTTTGGCTGGTGACTTGGATGCAGGTTTTGCAGACTTTCTTGCCCAGTAGGCTTCCTGCCTGGATCCTCGAGTGCCCGGATTACAGGCCCGCGCCCCCCTTGGCTCCGATCACCTCGGCGGGAGCCTGAGGTTGGCTGAGGCCTCTAAGGAGCCAGGCCCAGCCAGGCCCGCGCCCCACCCCCGGGGGCGAGCCCCACCACGGAACCGGGCCTGGGTTCAATACCTAACACGAGGAATGTGTGTGACGATTCTTAAAAGGTCGTCGTTTTAGCCAGACATCGGTGGTCATGCCGGTAATCATAGCTATTAGGAGACTGAGACCAGGAGGATCACAGTTCGAAGCTAGCCTGGGCAGTAGTCTGCCAGACTCGATCTCCCAATGAACAAGCCAAATGCAGGACCGGAGGGTATGGGTCAAGTAGTACAGCACCAGCTGTGGAGCAAGAAAGCTGAACAAGGACACAAGGCCTGGAGCTGAAGCCCTGGCACTGGCATGCATGCATGTGCACGCACACACACACACGTGCATGCACACACACACCTGGGTCCTTTAAAGTTCCACAGAATGGAGTTATCTGACACCTGGACATGCTTGGAGATTGGGTGGAAGGGCTGGGCCACAGGCCCAGGGCTGGAGGAGAGGAGATCCTCGAGTCCAGTCACAGAGGGACGAGCCCTCTGCATTCTGATGTGGGAAGATTTCCAAGGTATACTGTCAATATTTGGAAACAGCAAATTGCACACTGATGTGCTCTGTAAAAATTGTATTTTTATTAAAATATGCAAGGAAAAACATGCACAGGGCGCCTGTTGAGTGGCAAGTTCTGAGCTGGGGACAGAGTAAAATGATCTGAGAAGCTGGTGGGGTAGGGTCTAACAGGGAGATAATGAAGAATTAGTATGGGTGCTGGGAAGGAAGAGATGGTTCCAGTACGAGGGACTTTTTATTTTTGGTTATGGGACTTGAACTCGGCCTGGGCGCTGTCCCTCAGCTCCTTCCCTTCAAGGCTAGCACTCTACCACTTGAGCCACAGTGCCACTTCCAGTTTTCTGAGTGGTTTATTGGCGATCAGAGTCTCATGGACTTTCCTGCACAGACACTTTGAACTGTGATCCTCAGATCTCAGCCTCTGAGTAGCTAGGATTATAAGCATGAGCCACCTGCACCTGGCCAGGGACTTTTTGTTAAAGCAATATTGGAACTTGAAATCGGGGCCTATTCTCAGCCTTTTTGCTCACACTTGAGCCATGCCTCCAGCCTGGCTTTTTGCTGGTTATTTTAGAGATGAGTCCTATAGATTTGTCTGCCACGACTGGCTTTGAACTGTGATCCTCAGCCTTCTGAGTAGCTAGGATCACAAGCATGAGCCACCGGTGCCAGCTTTTTTGTACTGGCTAATGTGTGTGTGTGTGTGTGTGTGTGTGTACTGGGGCTTGAATTCAGGGCTTGAGCACTGTCCCTTAGCTAGTGCTCTACCACTTGAGCCATAGCTCCACTTCTGGCTTTTTGCTGGCCAATTGGAGGTTAAGAGTCTCACAGACTTTCCAGTCCAAGCTAGACCAAAGAAGAGATTGGGGAGAGGCCTGGGGCGGGGGAGGGTTCCTGGAGTGGGAAGGGTCCGGAATAGAGGGGCCTGGGGTGGGTAGGGGCTGGACGGGGCTTGGGGCAGGGCGGGGCCTCGGGTGGGCGTGCTGTCTTGGCGCCAGGCACACCTGGGATGTGGCATTGTCCCTCAGGGCTCCCTTCATCACTAAGATGGTTTTTGGGAGCTGAGGACATGGCCGTGTGGGCGCTTGCCTGGATCCCAGACCCTGGCTCCCACATGGAGGGGGATGTTCCTGAGTGTGTAGCAGCATGTCTTCCCTGGTGTTTGGTGCTCCCACATCTGGCCCCCCAGATCCTCCCAGGCAGACCTCTCAAGGTCATACTGGGTGCAGCCATCCAGGGTGACAAAGTCTGGTGTCCCAGCACCACCTCTACCACAATGTGCTGTGGACCTACTGCGTGCTGTGGACCTACTGCGTGCTGTGGACCTACTGCGTGCTGTGGACCTACTGCGTGCTGTGGACCTACTGTGTGATATAGACCTACTGTGTGCTGTGGACCTACTACGTGCTGTGGACCTACTGCGTGCTGTGGACCTACTGCGTGCTGTGGAAGGCACGGAGGGGGATGGACAGGCATGAGCTGGCACTGGGGCTCCTCCTCCTGAGGATGCTGCCCCCCCCTTTGCCAGCATAGGATGCTCTCCAAATCACCACACTATGGCCTCCACCCAGCCTGTTCCATAACAACAACCAGATTCACAGTAAGTGCACATTTGTCCTCTGAAGGTTCTGATAAGTCCTGCAGGGAAGAAACGCATATGACAGAAGCTGGTTTTTAAATGCATTTGACCTCAGAAGGGTATTTTTTCTTTCTGAATTTCTATTTAACACCCCACTGAGGGAGCTGGAGAGGAACACGTCGGGTATACGAAGCTGGGGATGCACCCCACTGCCCGCCCAAGGAAGGAGTATTTTTAGCTGTCAGCCCCATAGCAAGAAGCTTGCTGTGCGCTCAGGGCACACACACTGACCTTGGCTGCTTACAGATCATGGGGGTGGGGGAGTAGCGAGTCCGAGCAGCAGATTGCAGCACGGATGACTGGGAGGGGGGCTGTCAGCGCTGGCCTGGCCTGGACAGCAGAGGTGGGGTGCAGCCCGCCCAGGCCAGGTGGCCAGTCAGCCCTGACCCCTTCCAGATGTCCCTCCCTGCCCTGGCTCTGCTCAGGCCCCATCTGGCCTGGCCCTCCCCTATCTCGCCTCCTGGGGGGCCTTGAGAGGAATCCTGGCCTCACCCTGGTCTTCACAGAGGGAGGGGCTGAGCTGCTTGGTGGGCTGGGAAGCCTCTCCCAGGCAGGTGCTTCACACTTCCCAACTCGAGTGTGTGTGTGTGTGTGTGTGTGTGTGCTCTCTTTCCAGACCTCTGCCTAGCACGTGCTCTGACCTTTCTGGCCTCCGGATCTTTGCACATGCCAGTTCCTCTGTGAGGCTCTCCTAAAGCTCCTAAAGGCAAATGTCACTTTTTTTTGTACTGGAATTTGAGCTCAGAGCCTCGCACTTGCCAGTCAAGCACTCTGACTGTAGAGCCACTATCAGATGGGGAAACTGAGTCCTTGGAAGGATTGCCTGAGGTCCATAGAGGGAGAGACCAGGTGCCCTCCTGGTGGCAGGTCTGGCCCAGGCCTGTGGGTGGGGCTTCAGCAGCTGGCTCCGCCCCCACCAGCTGCTGGGGTCTTAGCGACCTGTCAGAGGCTCTGGGCGGTAATCCTGCTTAAGCCCAAGGCCTCCTGGAAGGCGGGTGGGGGAGGTGCGCCGGTGGTGGGCTGGGGGACAAAGGCCCAGCACACAGCGGGTGCCACGCGGCTGTGGGGCTAATCCTGATTATCTTTCCTGGGCATGGGCGGTGCTGGCCCTGTCCATCTGTCTCACGGGCCTGGCACACACTGACTCTCTGTGTGTGTCCTTATCACAGCCCCTGACCTTCCCTTGGCCTCAGTTTCCCCACCTGCGTGGCACAGCCCACGCAGGTACTGGGAAGATCCGCAGGGCCACGTCTACCAAGTGAGGAAACCTCCGTGTGGCTTCCTGTGCTGGCGCACTGAGCTCTGACGCTGAATCTGAGACCCACCAGGCTCACCAGGAAACCCGACTGCTGCCCTGTGCAAAGATCCCAGCGCTTCACAGTGCTGAAAACCTACTGCTCCCAGGCACAGAGAGATCAAGGAAGCTGCCCAAGACCACACAGCAAACCCCACCGGAGGAAGCATCTCTAGAAGGACAAAAACCTCGTCAGTATATCGCTGGCCAGACAGGAGCTTCCAGAAAGGACAACCTTCCTCAATCCCCAGACACCGAGGCCTCTCCCTTCCTCCCACACAGGAGACCTTCCATAATTCCCAGCCCCACCCCCATGCCAGAAGGCGGGGTGTGTGTGTGTGTGTGTGTGAAGTAAATGCAATGAATAAGCAAGCATGTATAAATAATTCACTGGCTCCCCAGGGACGGAGGGGGCTGCACCGTCAACAGAAGCCCTCGCTACCCACAAGGCCGAGCGCCTCTGGGTCACAGGTGGAGGGAGAGGCTGCCAGGCCAGGCCTCAGCCCCAGGCAGCTCTGAGGGAAGGGTCCCCTCGCTGTGTGCCCCCCATGCTGGTCCGGGCCTGCGTGGAGACTCAGGGTCCGGGTGGCTCAGTCCTCAGTCCCCCTCCCTCAGTCCTGCATCCATGGGATTGGTTTTCTCAAGGCACTGCTCGCTAAAGACCTTGAGAACCAGAAGGCTCACCAGAAAACCGGGGCCGGCCGCCCGACCCCGCCAGCCGTGGGCTCATCCATCAGAAAGCATCACTGAATCCTGAAGGGACATCACCAGCCTTGGGGCCTGCCCTGTGCCCGGCCACTCCCGCCCCCGGGACCTGCCCCCTCCTCCCTGCGGAATTCCGGGGTCCTAGCTTCAGACAGCAGCAGGAGGATTCACTGGGGACAGCGTGTGTGTCTGTGCGCACACGCGCACACGTGTGCATACACACACACAGAGC